AGTGAAATAACTTTTCCACATTCTAAAAATGCTGGGTTGTTTCAACCCAACTTTGGGTCAAATATGGACTAACCCAACCATTGGGTTACATTTTTAACCCAAAAGTTGGATTAGTCCATATTTGACCCAAAGTGGGGTTGAAACAACCCACCATTTTTATAGAGTGCAGTAATTTTTAATGTATTTTTTTTTTCATTTCTACTTTTTCTATTTTTTTTTCTACTTCGTCTGACTCATTTTTTATGAAAACCTCCATTTCGGTTTACTCAGAAGAGCAATTCTTTACAATTATTAGCATAACAAATTGCCATAGTACAGATAATTTACTACTGTAAAATCATAATTTGTGTGGTATCTACTTCTAATAGAGTGAGATATTTTCAGAATCCTTCTGTCATTTTATATTCTTCCTTGGCTGATGGTGGCCAATATTACTTTACCACTGCTTTACTATAATAACAATAACTTCAATAGCTATGTTAATTTCAGTAACCATAGTAAATTTCTGTAAGGGCAGCTAACAGTTATAGACCAGTATTGTTGGTGTCATAACTTTATACTACTGTGATGCAATAGAAGTGACTTGTATGAACTGTGGCTCTGTTCCAGTAGTAAATAATGGAGGGATATTTTAATTAAATTTTTCTTATAAAATCTTTTTTTTAAATGTCTTCATTATCCTTTATAGTGTGAAATTCTGCTATATTTGGACACTTAATTCATGTTTCTCATCTAAATCTTGATATAAATGCTTACATTTAAATACTTGAAATATAAATTGAAATAATTGAAATCTAAAAAATACTAAGAAAAATATGTGCCTACTTGTCCGTACTTTGTTGTTTTCTCACTCAATGATCATTATGCATGGATATTGTCATGAACATCCAGTTCATTAATGGATTATACAGTGCATTCACTGAAATAAACATCTGTCTTCTGCTTATAGTGCGTCAATCCACAGGAAAACTGGACCTTACATGGCCACCGCCCCAATCTGATGAAGATCAAAGACAACTGTCAGAGGTAGACTTTTTGTTTGAATCTCTTCTTTATTCTTTTCTGGGACTAAATGTCTATGTCTCAGTTACACTGGTGTCGGTAGCATTGTGGCTAAACCCAAAGGTCTGAGGATCAAATTTTGAATGTGGTAATCCATGAATTGAGGTTTTACTTGAACAATGAACAGATACCAAAGCTCTTCAACCTTTCAATAGGTAATCAAAGGGTATCAAAGTTTCAGTCACCCTCCCAGCGCAAACACAACCACTTAAATGTGGCGCTGCTGAAAAAGCGGCTTATCTTTCATATAATGAGAGTACAGAGCAGAGTTCATACTAGCTGCATTCTTAAAAATCAAGCTTAGGTCATTACTGTATTATCACTATTAACACTGAATCACTGAATATCCTCAGCCAGGGAAGTATAATGTAACCAACACAATCAAAACCGATAGGTATTGGCAAGTGAACACTGCCTTTAACTGAAGACAGAGGCTTTTTTCAGTTAATCTCTTAGAGAAAAAGTGCCTACCTTATAAATGAGGAAGTTAAAATTGCATGTGCTGCTCCTGTGTTTATTTTTTAAAAATCCGTTTAAAAAGGAACCATAAAATGAGAAATCTATCATCATTTTTTTTCACCCTTATGTCATTCCAAACCTTTATAACTTTCATTTGTCAAACACAAAAAGGAGGTGTTAGACAGGAAGTTCACCCTGTTCTCTTACATAGAACAAGTGAATGGTGACCGGGGGCAACAAAAATGACAAAAAAAAGTGTTTGTGCATTGTATTATATGATACCTTTACACTGATATTCAGTGAAAAGTCAAATGTATTCACTTCTCAAATCTAACTCAAATGTACTTATTTGAATGTGTGCATATTCAAATTTGGTGTGCTATGATCGCTTATGTGACACGTGAGAACCAGTTACAATATGGCACCATTGACATCAAATCTTGTGTGACACATTTTGATGTGCCATATATGAATATACGCAAATATGAATGACATTTTTCAGTGAATAACAACTCAATATGCCTTCAGAAGACCACTTTAATGATGCTTTTTGTCATTTTTGGAGCTTGACACTGGCTGGTCACCATTTGGTTGGCATATTGTTTGTAAAAGAGCATTATAGACATTCTTCAAAATATCTCCATGGAGGAAAAATGTCATATGGGTTTAAAACAACACATGGTTTAGTCAATGATGATGGTATTTTCATTTTTGACCAAATTATTTCTTCAGCCAACACTTTCAAAAAAGAAAATAAGTGTGCAAAAACTTTCAAAAGGTATGTATTTGCACCATTAGACTGTATAAAAACATGGACGTAGTGTCCGTGACGTCACCCGTAGATTTCCGAGGAGCGTTTTTGAAGCTCAAAAGTGGGCGCCAGGCTACAATAGTCCAAATATAAGTACTTATTATAAGTGTACCGTAGTGATTCGGAATAAGACAAAAACGCGGGTTGGAAGATGAATTCATGATGTACTCGCTCATTATATACATTTTGCAAATTTTGAACACAGAAAAAGTTACATAGTGCTGCTTTAAGTGTACATATTACTTATTGGTACATATTTCTACCTTTTGAAAAGGTACCACGCCAGTGACAATTTTGTACCTGTTTTTGGAGAGTGTATGCTATGCTTGCTAAAGGCATTCAATTTCAAATTCACTTACTAATGTTCTCATTTTAATGTTCTGATCAATACAGACAACAGTAACGATCCCAAGGCAGAGAAATCCATTACTCGAGCGCTGGGAGTCAGGGATTGTGAACGACTGGGACTGAAACACAACTACAACATCCTGATGTACAATATGAAGCCCAGCCAACCATGAGTGCACCGGCCTAAAATAAAGCATATGAACAAATGATCAGTTTCCCAGTTTAAGTAACACGTGCCATTATGGGTAGATAAAGAGCACAAGTTGCCTCAAAAAGCCACTGCAAGCTATATGATATTCTACAACACACACCTTGTAAATAACAGATGAGCCAAACTGTTGTTATAATGGTCGGCCAGTGTTTATTGGCATTATATGGGCTCAAATGATTTCAATGTAATAATTATGTAATTCTCAATGTAATTTTCTGATTTACAGTTATACAGTTATTTATAATCAATAAACATAGCTGCTTATCTCATAGTAACAAATCTAGTCTAAAGGCTGGAATACTATAAGATTGTACAAGAATTATATTTAAATAAACATTCTTTGATAGATATTTCCTTACTCATTAGAAAAGATAAATTATACTGGGAAATGGCTTCATTGATACATATATAAAAATGCTAAAATAAATAAAAATGTGTTAATCAGCTTTTTTGGTTATTTGCGAATGCACTGAATAATTTTCCAAGACTCAAATTGTTGAATGAGACTCATTGTGATTTGGAATCCGAAACTAGATCACGGACTTCACAATAGGCACAATAACCAGAATGTAATGATTGGCTTTGATTTTCAAAATAACAATTAAAGAGGGCGATGTTCTAGCATTCCATTCAGCTTCCAGGCAAAAGCCCTTTGCTTGTTCAATGACATTTCAGTCCATTGTAACCTTCTGCATACTCAGCCCGAGCTGTGAGGTATGAACACCCGACTGCCGTGACTCAACACACCAGTGGGCATTCAAATTCATCGCCATGGTGATGATGGTACTGTAGGAAAGGTACAAAGAAAACGTCCGAGCCCGAGTGAGATTAGTCATGAGTGAAATCACAACACACTCACACTGACCCTCTAGTTGCCTGTGAATTATTCATTCACTCTTTCTGAGCACAATTAGCCAAGGATGCATGGGAATGCTCATTTCAAATATGGCAGCAGCTCATCGATACCACTGGAGAAAAGCTGCCCATTGCTTTCAGATTTCAATGAGCCTAATCCAAATGACCTTTAAGACCAATAAACAATATTAATTCTTTGTATTCTTAGGAAAACAAAACAATATGATTAATGACGCAAGGGTAGTTTCTGGCTAAATATATAATCTGTATTTGTTTTACAGTAGTCTGGTGACTGAACATGGTTTTGTTCCATCCATATCTAAGTGTTTCTGTGTAAATACAGGGTTAAAGGGATAATTCACTCAAAAATAAAAAATACCGTCATCATTTACTCACCCTCAAATCTGTATGAGACAGTTGACAGTAGCCACTGACTTCCATAGTATTTTTTTCCCCATATTTTGGAAGTCAATGGCTACCATCAGCTGTTTGGTTACCAACATTCTTCAAAATATCTTCTTTTGTGCTCAACAGAAGAAAAAAAAGTAACAGGTTTGGAACAAGTGGAGGGTGAGGAAATGATGACAGAAATGTCATTTTTGGGTGAACTACTTTAAGGTGCTTCAGAGGACAAAGCAGAGAACCATATGCCATTATGGTTGATTATCTCAGACTGTAAGAGAGCTATAAATGGTACATTGTTTGATAATCAAAAAGTTATCATGAGACTTCACATAGTTTCAGGCTATGTGAAGACATAGATGGGAACAAAAATAAAGTCTTTAAAAAAAACTAGTATTAAATAATAGATTTTCTCACTGGAATGTAGTTCTGGCATGACTGTCAAATTAATTTCCTTTGAAATTTTCATGATAAGCAAAGAGGAACTGAAAGAAGTTCTTAAGCACCACTTGAACTAAGTGACACAAGTAAGATGTAAGATATTAGTAAGCATCTGCTTGAAAAAGAATAAAAAATAAATGCAAATGAAAGCTTTCAATTTTCAGCTTTAGGTGATCTTAAATCTATAAAACGATTTGCAAAGATTTAATGCCCAACACTCAAAACTGCCAGTGCTTCACTGAAATGTCAATCTCATGTTATATCTAGATGTCCAGAGCCCCCTGCTGACAGAAAAATTCATATCTCAGTGAAAAATACTATGAACTACAGAAACTACAGTATATTGTTTACTCATTCATTACTTTACAAATATATAAAATGTTTCGGCTTTTAAATAAACATCACAATACGTCAAACACAAAATGTAGCATCCGGTCGGTCGGTCGGTAGGTAGATAGATAGATAGATAGATAGATAGATAGACATCAGCAAACTGAGGCATTCTTAAAGGTTGCCATGGGATAATCGTAGATGGGCTCTGAAAATGAGGGTCTTCCTCTAAGCATTTGTCCATTTTCCTGTAGATTGGAAACACGTGCATATTAAAAACATGCAAGAGATGTGATAAGTTAGTGTTTCTCACAGCGGACATAATGCAACAGGAGGATGTTGGCAAACACTGCGTGATGTAAAGAGATCTTATTCTTCCTCTCTCATTCTTGTCTAAACAAATCCGCACACTGGTAACCTTAGTACTTGGAACGAGATATGAGATACTAGTTGGGCCTTTTGTAAAGGGAATCACAAGAGAAGGTTTGAAATGGTGCATCATTACCTCAGTTCCAATGTCAACACGCTGCAGAGTGAGATCTGATGAAAAAATAAATCATGGTGAGAGAAAAATCAATAAACTTTAAGACAAAATCAGATATCTGTGATGCTTATGATATAATGATGGGAGATTGGATGGTGAATTACTTGCTCTGAAGAGATTGTCACAATGACTTACCAACAATATGATCTCTGGAGTGCACATTTTGCCAGAATTTTTCTTGATCTCTGTGGAAAGAGTTTTATTATATTTTTTACATTTTGGTAACATTCATATCACTCATATTAGCAGTGTACTATGATTAAAATTATTTAAATAATTATATACATTAATTAAATATTAATATAATGATCTAATATAATATATACTGTAATCACATAATCAGTGCTTTAAATACCTATATATAAATATATAAATATTTACTAAAATTATTTAAATAACTATAGAAACATACAATAGTGTTCAAAAGTTTGAGGTCGGTAAGTTTTTTTATGTTTTTGAAAGAAGTCTCATGTTCAACAAGTCTGCATTTATTTAATTTAAAATACAGTAAAAGCTGTAATATTGTGAAATAGTATTGTAATTTAAAATAGCTTTTCTGTTTTAATATACAGTAATTTACAATGTAATTTATTGCTGTGACGCAAAGCTGAATTTTCAGCAGCCATTACTCCAGTCTTCAGTGTCACGTGATCCTTCAGAAATCATTTTAATATTTAATAATTTTTAATCATTTAATATTTTCATGTTAATTGCTAATTATTTTAGTATTGCTGTGTTTTAAGAAAAAATTGAACATTAGTGTATAAATTATTTAGATAATCTTTATTCCTGTAAGTCAAATAGTTCACAGATAGTGATGTAATAAAGTACACTCTTAGTGAACTGCAAGTTGCTTGAAATAAAAATGTCTGCCCAATGAATAAATGTAAAATGCAATTTTAATCAAATATCAGGTACGCTCTCCAGTATTGTGTCTCACCTTTGTGTCCTTCTCTCTGACATGTTTTTGACTGCAAATAAATGGGTAGAGATTACAATTCAATTTATATTAATGATTACATGCATGAATGAAGAACAAACAATGGGTGTTTTCACTTTGTATTGTTCCAGTATTTAATTAAATGGATTGAGAAGATAATCACCACGGAGTATTATAGTTCATCAGAGACTAGACTTAACCAATGTAAACTTATGAGCAACTAAAATAAGAGACTAGATATCTAATACTCACAATGTCTGTGTATGGCAAAGCCCAGGATTGCCACCACCATGAGGAACAGAACACCCGCAGACACAGAGCCAACAATCAGAGCCAGGTCTGTGTTGCCTTTCCATAGACATGTATGAAAACAAAGGAGAGTGTTTTAGATACCAACTTGGGCATATTTGATTTGCTGCATTACCGTGATAGCTACAAAGATACAGTACATATACATAGCAAAAATTAAATATTACCTGTAGAGCTCGATGTGCATACATGATATCCTGAAAAAAGGTTGCAATAAATCAGATTTTAAGATCTTATTTATGTAACATCATGAGATATCATATCACATTTAGTATAATACATTCAGTACCTGTAATGCATGGGATAGTTACTGGTGAGCTCATTTTAGAGTACGCCTTGGAGTTGCCCAATGACACGCTGTACTGACACTGATACTGTGCACCATGTTCATAACGGGTGGGTATGGGAAATCTAGCACTGTGTTGGGTCAGGATAGCCTGATGGGTCGCCTCAGGTGACAGGACACCGACACGAAATAAACTGAAGTAGCCTTGCGGATATGAGGGTGACCCAACACACTCCAGAACTTCACCCTTGTGTCGGGACAAGGACAGAGTGGGGACTGGGAGCTCTGTAAGAGGAAACACACACAGACATAGAGACATGAGAACATTTGCTTAATAGTACAAATGTGCACATCAAAGTGAGATGCCTTGTTGCTTACTGTATGCATAGGCAGATGCCTCCATAAAGGAATACTGCACCCAAAAATGAACATTCTGTCATAATTTACTCACCCTCAAGTTGTTTAAAATTCTTCAAAATGTCTTCTTTTGTGTTCAACAGAAGAAAGAAATGCATTGGAACATTGGACATGCAGGTTTGGAACATGAGGGTGAATGAATGATGACAAAATATTCATTTTTGGGTGAAATATTCCTTTAAGGTGCTGTCCCATAAAAAAAAAGGTCCATTATCCATTGTGAAACTTCTGATCAAGCGGATTCCTATTGGAATGACTGGATTTCACTTGTGAAAATGTGGCCGTACTTGTAGGCAGCAACACAAATCATGGAACTTCATAAAGGTATGGTCATATTAGTGACATTTCTGTGAAATTTAATGGGCAAAAAGTCCATTGTCTATTGTCAATAGGGTTGTGATGTAAGAAGCATAGCTCACACAGAAGTCACTTTTAAATCAAGCAGCTTTTGGTTGGTAAACTCTGTGAATTTCAGCTAAAATTTGCAACATAACTAACTTGAACCAGTCGGGAAATCTTTGCAGGAAAATCTTACACTCTTATGCAAAATCACGTGTTTTTTTATTTAAATGACTGGATATTGTTCACCAAAATTCACAGAACAATGGCAGCATGTTGCCAAGCTAACAACTCCAAGCGTAAAAATACATATCACAAACAAATAATAGGTTTTATATACACTCACCGGCCACTTTATTAGGTACACCTGTTCAATTGCTTGGTAACACAAATTGCTAATCAGCCAATCACATGGCAGCAACTCAATGCATTTAGGCATCTAGATGTGGTGAAGACGACTTGCTGAAGGTCAAACCGAGCATCAGAATGGGGAAGAAAGGGGATTTAAGTGACTTTGAACGTGGAATGGTTGTTGGCTCTCTGAGGAATGTTTCCAACACCTTGTTGAATCTATGCCACGAAGAATTAAGGCAGTTTTGAAGGCAAAAGGGGGTCCAACCCGGTACTAGCAAGGTGTACCTAATAAAGTGGCCAGTGAGTGTATATATATATATATTTTTTTTTACCATTTGTATCTATACTTTTCAGTGTTGAATAAAATATCTAATCAAAATTACTTTTCTTCTCTTTGTCCTCTATCTTGACAATAATTTGTTCACTAGCTGCGTTTGAATTCATGTACTGCCAGAGTATGTGCTACATTTGATAGATCTTGAAAGTTATAAGCATGTTCAATAAGTATGTATGTGTGTAAACATGAATACAATTCAGACATGATATGTAATCCATGTTGGAATTGTCATGATGGTCTGATATATTATGGTATTAGCAGGATAGAAGGTCATCTGTGTATTTTACGCCTACTGTTTTATGAATACTATAGTGTTTGGAAGTAGGTAAGCTGGCCATGGATCGGCATTCTGCAGTGAATTTTGTGACTGCTTTATCCTTGAAGGATATAAATAGGTTTTTGGAAAAGATCATTTGTTTGATCAGTAGTAATAGTGACGCTTGCCTTAGTATAAAATCCAGGATATTTAAAAAAAACAAAACAAAATAAGCATGCAATACGGAAACAAAATGTAGTAAGAATAGCATGCACATCAGTCCAACAGATGTCTCCTCACCTATGACAGTAATGTGTAACGGCTGACTGGCTGTGGAGTTCACCTGTCCCGTCTTCTGTGATTTGAGTTGGTAGAGGCAGACATACTCTCCACCGTCCTCTCGTCCCTTTGTCTTCACACTGAAGTGAGCATCATGGGACTGAGACACCAGCTGGGCTGGAGCGACCATGGAGCCCGGGGTTCCTTTGGTTCTCCGGAGCAAGAGAAAAGCCTCAGGAGACTGTTTCTGACGGTCAGGTGGAGCCTGACAGTGGAATGACAGTGTTTCACCAGGACTAACATGCCCACTAGAGGGCTCGACCATCAAGTGAGGGGATGGAGGGGGACCAACTGAGACTACGGCAAGAAGAAAGAAAGAAAGAAACTTATGAGCATTTAGTGATTTTAGAATATATGTGTGAAAAAACAAAGATAAGAGACAGAAATACTAACATATACAACACTAAAGATGTAAAGCACTGCTGGGTGGAGTAGTTTGGTTTAGTGGTTACGAACTTTCAACTGTAGATAGAGCGGTTTCTTTAACCGTCATACTACTGTGACCTCAAAACCTACAGCTGCAAACTACTTAAACCCATGCCTCAGCTAACAGAGATTCATGCAGTATTCATGCAGGATCACTGACATAAAGGAAAGAAAAAAATATATTTGTGTGTGTGTGTGTGTACCTGGAATTCCCCATAACATTTGGTCATTTTTTGAAATTTTTTTGGTCTCCATGAGGAAACAAGCTTGTAAATCATGCACAATAAAAAAATTTTTTAAATCTCTTTTTTTTAATTTTTTGGGGTAGGTTTAGGGAAAGGGGATAGAAAATACAGTTTGTACAGTATAAAAACCATTATATTTATGGAATATCCCCATAAAACATGGAAACCAGTGTGTGTGTGTGTGTGTGTGTGTATACATAATATAACAATATAATATAAAAGAAACACTCACCTTTCTGCTCTGGCTGCATATAGGAACTGATCATGCTGCTGTCATACATACAGCAATACAGATTCTCTTTTTCTGTATCTTTTCCCCTAATAATAAAGAGAGCCCTTTGCTGTTCGGTTGAATGCTCAACCTTATCTATCAGCTGGCGCATTTTGAAAAGTTTAAATACAAGTCCACCATAACCTTCTGGAGCCTGACACAACAACTCCACAGATGAGCCTCTGATGGCTGTCTGGGTCAGTGTAGGAGCCGGTGGGGCAGAGTATTCAGCAGCTGAAACATCAAGGAAAGTGAATATATTAGTCAAAGTTACAAATGAACTCAAATGCTCAATTATGCCTGGTCAATCTGGTCATCCAGCTGTTCCAAACCTTGGCCAGCATGGAAGTTCACGCTGGTCTAAAGTGGGTCTTTAAATATCTGTTCAAGTGAATATATCTATTAAGAACAGGGATTTCAACCATAATGGTCCAAAAACAACTTAATATTAAAATGAAACTCTAAAGACACATATTTAGATATTGTTTACACTGTTTTTATACAATAAAAATAACATTTTGTGATTTGCTGCATGATTTACATTATAGTGGGACAGATATTGTGATCATATAGAAATATAAATGTGGAAAATTACACACTTACCACTAAAATGCGGCTTGAGGATGATCAAAGCTGTGAGGAAATACCCACAAAATAACATTCTTCCAGTGTTGAAGTCCAAATATTCCAGTTTCTTGACAGCTATTAGACCTTCAAAAAGTCGGTGTATATATTTTTATGAGAAATTGCCTTTATGGCTTGCGGAGTCAGTGGTAAGACAGATGCATAAAATCACCAATAGCTGAACCTCCCTTCCCATTCACTTGCGCAAACTTCCTCATCCACACATTAAAAGCACCAACGAACATGTTTCATATGTTTAAGAAAACCACATCCTTCCATTACATCAAAGAAGAAAGGCAGAAAGACACTCCCACGAGTGGCCCATGTGAGCTAAAACCGCATATGACAATGACAGGAAATTGATGTACTCATGTGCAAAACACACTCATCTGTGTGTCCTCTACTTCCAAACAACCTTAAATTTGTCCACTGATAATTATTTGTGTTCATGCTTCATCTCTTACCCAAAAAACAGAACTGGTGTGTTAAGCAGGACCGTTAGCCACAAAGCCACTGAGTATGACCAATCCTTCCCGATATCCAGATTAGTGGTCCATATGGACCAATATGATTTATTTTTTGTTCCTCTCAACCCTGAACATGTGGTTAAGATAGTAATGCAGGAACTGCATTTTAAATCTAACATCATGTTTACTGCAGATGGGAGGAACTGTAGTCATTTGGTTGTTTTGTCAGTGTCACACGGACAGGAAAAACAATTATTGCCATTTCTATTTCTTGTCCTGTGCATTGTCCCTTTTTTCATAATAATTGAGCTGATTCAAATTGTTGAACTGATACTTATTTGATTTCCATAATGTGAATTGTTTTTAGGAGAAACCACCTAAAAAATTACCTTTGACCCAAAGCCTAAGTAATGTGGACCTGTGTAGCCCATCATAAAAGAATACCTGGAAATTCAGTCTATTTGTCACTTCTAACATTTCATATGAAGCTTTCATAATCCACAAGCAACAAGCAGCATGGCAACAATCTGATCACTCTACACAAAAACATACCTGTGATAATTTAAAAATAAAGTCATTTTTTTCAGTCTTGTGGTTAAATGATCACAACACCCCCTGCTTTCTGTTTACTATATAAATACATACTGCGCACATTCTATGCGATATCCTGAAACTACTAGGGAACTAACATTTTATGAGAATGCTGTGGGAAATTTCTAAAACATTCTGCTGCATGTAAAAATAAAATTAGTTAAGTACCAGATTGGACACATCCACGTATTCTTTGTTATTTCTATATTCCTCATTTTAAAATAAGCGTAAAGTCGTCAACAAACAAGAAGTAACACAAATGGAAAAATGGGGATTTTGTTGGGACCAAAACATTTTATACAAATCAAAACTCTTATATATTAGCTTCTGCAAAGTAGCCACTTTTGCAGCTCCGATGTCCTGGTCGCGAGGGCCTTACCAGGCCTGAGCAAGGAGGGTGGTCATCCCGCCGAGATGACCAGAACTGGGTGACCAGGGAAACTAGGCAAGAAACCGATGGACCTGAGACAAATCGCAAACGCCAACAATGCTACCGCATACGGTGGAGCCCATGCGAAGGCACTGGGGCCCCAGGGTGCTGGTGGGAAGTGGTTTAATGGCCAAAACTGAGGAGGAAGAATCAGAAAAAGATCATTACACCGAAAAACAGAAATTCGCCTCACAGCTTGGAATGTTCGGACCGGCCACCACGTTGGTCAAAAGGAGATCATCGCCAAAGAGCTGCTGACGTGCAAGATCTCGATCGAGGCATTATACAAACTTTGACTTACCGGATCCGGAACAACAACAGTTCACGAACCCAGTTCAAATGAAAAAATGATGCTGTTCTGCTCTGGCAGGGAGAAAAGAGAGGTGGGAGTCGCCTTTATGGTGGACGACTGGGCAACAAGGAGTGAATTGGCCTTCCAACCTATATCAAACCACCTGGCTGTACTAACCGTCCACGGCACCATCCAAGCGCACCTTCTAGCCATTTACGCCCCAACCAAAACAAGCCCAGATGAGGTCAAAGACAACTTCTATGACCAATTGCAACGCATACTGGACTTGGTCCTGAGTACCAAGTTGACTACCCTAGCGGGTGACTTCAACAGCACCAAACGTGACGGCTGGGAAGAGACAATGGGCAAGTTCGGTATCTGCGAAATCAATGACAAAGGATTGCGCCTTTTATCATTCGCCTTGACCAACAACTTTGTTGATGTTGATGCCTACCCCCGTAGGCATCAACTCACGTGGAGGAACCCAGAGGGCGATGACTCGCCTATCCTCAACTACTTCTTGATCAATCGCCGCTTCCAATCGTCACTCAAAGATGTGCGCTCAATGAGGGGACCTAATTGCGGCTCAGACCACTACCTCGTCTGTGTTAAGCTTTAAATACGACTGCAACAGGCCATGAAAAAGGTGCTGTCGCCTCCCAAACCAAACTGGGCATGCTTGAGCAACCCCGAAATCAAAGTCCAATTCCAAATCGCCCTTCCAAACAAATTTGTGCCGCTTGCGAATCTGGATATTGTAGACTCCGCTCTGTCCACCCTCTCGCCGAAGAACAAAACCTTGGATCTCGGACAAGTCTCTATATCTTGTCCAGGAGTGAAAGTCTACTGAATCATGAATCTGAGTGCATTCATTCAGCCTGGAAAAAGGCTATGATCATTCCTATCTTCAAGAAAGGTGACAGTCAAGATTGCAAGAACTATCGAGGGATCAGCCAGCTCTCCATCGTTGATAAAGTATTTATGAAGATCATCCAAACCTGCCTACAAAAGCATTGGGAGCAGACGAGCCAAGAAGAGCAAGCCGGGTTTCGTCCACATTGTGGCTGCTGTGACCAGATCCTCGCCTTCCATCAGTTGATAGAAGAGCGGATCCGATACGCGGAGCGACTGGTGGTTGTATTCATCAACTTCAAATCGGCGTTTGATTGCATTCACTGGCCATCCCTCTGGACAGGAGGTCGAACATGTGCCGCTGGAAATTGTCTGCCTTCTCCAACACTCATACAATGGCTCTACAAGCTGTGTCAGAATCAGAAACGAAACGTCTGAAGAGTTCTCCATCCAAACTGAGGCTCGCCAAGGCAATGTTGCCTCTCTGATCTTGTGCAATGCAGTGATTGACTCAATCATACGGATACGCAACCAATCTGCCGTTTGCAAATGACAACTCCATATTGGCCGGCACCTTTTACGACATTGCTAAGCAACAGCAGTGTTTGCATTGCTCAAATGGTGCTAATGGAAGAAGGCCAACATCACGATCGCAACCAAGATGCCAAGATTCTGGACCCTGATCATTCCAATTCAATTCTACAGATCAGAGACTTGGACCTTTCTGAAATGGAAATCAACAAACTCGAGGTCTTTCAAATGCGATGCCTCAGGTAAATCTTGGGCGTATCTCGGCTCGACTGACTTCGGAATGAAACTATTTGTTGGGAATGTGGCAACCAGTCCACGATCAATCAATGATCGAAGAGGTGATAAAGAAGAGATGCCTGCGGTGGTTCGGAAACGTGTGCCAAACGGACAGCGCCCGACTGGCGTTCAAACTACTCTGGCGCCAACAGCCACCAACATGGAAGGTATACTGCTATACGCCGAAGAAGACCTGGGAGAAGCAAGTTGAAGACAGCCTCAAGAATCGTTGTCTCACCCTCACGAATACCAAGACCCTATCCACCGATCGTTCAGCATGGAGACAAGTTGTGAAAGATGCCAGAAGTCCGTTGGCACCCACAGCAGCATATGAGCTACGAAGACGTCTTCGGCACAACGTCAGCTAAGGATCAGAGCGAGAGAGAGACACTCTTGCACAGATCACAGCAGTGCAAACACTAGGCATTCTCTCAACCAACTTTATGAGATGCCACCTTTAAAGAAAATATGGAGTAATGGATTAGGCTCGATTTTCTAGGCCGATATGGCAAGGAACTATACTCTCATTCCGGCGTTGGTTATGTTGGCGGAAGTTAGCCTATTTTCAGGCGCTGCGTAATATCATTGCGCCTGCTGCACCCATGGCACCCAGAATTAATAGACAATAAGAATATACAAAAAGAGTACACAGAAATAAAAATAAGAAAAATGTATAATATATAATGCAAAAAAAGACTATAAATAAAAATTTTGTCTAATGAAAAGTCTTGGCAAATAATCATAGTAAAATAAGCTCTGTGTAATCATAATGACTAAAGGCTGACTTTCCACTTTCAGCCCTGTTTTCAGGTATAACCATTAAGTTACATTTAGATTTCAAGAGATCCTGACATTGCAGATCTGCTAGTGTTTATTTAGCCACTTCATTTGAGTGACCTTACCCTGTCTGATTGTGTATTTTGTTCTCACGGATCCACGCATGCACGGTAAAAATGCATAGGAAAATGATGTGTTCTCATTCAAATTAGTCAATGCAGTGGCTTTTAACAAAGGCAACTCAGTAGCGAGGTTTGACGGTGTAAATGTGTGCATGTGCTGTTATCTGTGGGGAAAGAGGCATCAGAGGGACCCAGAGCTCTATTATCTCATAAAAGACAGGAGGCCTCTCATCACCCTAACCACACTGATAACTGCTTTCCAGCACATAATCACCTACTGAACACCGGCCTTCTGAGAATCGCACACTCACAGTTTAAGTGTTTCACGAGAGATGTATTGCATGAATTTACAGCTCTAAGTGTAAAAGTAGACACTGTACATTCCACTTCAGCTCACTTAACACCCTTGATACTGTTTGCAAACAAGGTTCCACACATCTTAGCTTTCAATATCATCACATATAATCGTTCATAGTACTTTATACATTAAAAGCATTAATTATATTTCAATAATATATTTTTTTTAATTTCAACATTAATTCATTAATATTATTTTTAAATATTATTTTAAACAAATTTAATTCGAAATTTAATTAATGTTGACCGTTATTGGCTGATTAACCTACTGCATATATAATTTATTATTAACAACTGAATTTACTTTTAATAAATATATATTATTTAATTAGATTATATTATTAATATATTATCAAGTAATTCTCTCTCATTTTAGATTTAAAAGGCCCTCATAAACAAATATTAGAGTGAACAGTCATATGGGGAATATTTTTAGATGAACTTTTTTTTACATAATGGTTCAGCAGAATGAAATAGGTGATATGATAAGTAATGTGTTTTGGCACCAGAATTCCAATTATTATGTTTATCCACATTGCTGCTGTTAATTTGGTTGAGTATAACTTTTTGAATTGCAATGACTCAAATGCACTTTCAAAATTTTTGGACTCAAATTTAAACTCCACCCACAATCACAACTGTCAGGGGTCTTAAACATAAGTTTATCACTGATAGAGAGAAAAAGAGAGGGAGAAAGAGAGGGTGGAAGAAAGAGAGGGAACGGGTAACCAGCATTAATGCCACTGTAAACTTTTTTTTTTAATATCTTTTGAATTTAACACTAATTTCTGGGTCCCTGCCCTTTGTCTATTGCACATCTAAGACTCTTTTGGGACAAGACGCATAGACATGCCTCTTTTGGGGACATTAGAAAATCATTTTGATAATAAATGCTAAAAGGGCACCAAACGGATGGCTGTGACTCAAGCCGTTCTGCCTTCGTTTTCAAACTTCTGCAACATCTCTGAAAACATGAAGGTATGTTTGTTTCAGATATTTTTCTCACATTTTCTCTCGACAAAATTTGATTAATTACTGTTTTTTAAGGTAATTACAACTGTAACTGTTTATTTTGATCTTATGACTTTGATCTTATGAAATCACTTTCCATAATGACAGTTGACTAGTTTCACAATAAACAGGAGTGTAAAACTGAAGGGAGATGCTGTGGTTTGGAAACTAACATATTTGATTGCAATATTCAAAATGGTTAATCAAGAAATGTCAATATCAATTTTAAAATATTTGGTGACTCCGAAGGCTTGGAAGTTTGAAAAAGGCTTTTTGGATCTGAACTCCAAGGGTTTACACCAAAGCACCGGCAGCTACAAACCTTCTCAGTTTCTGTCAGATGCAAACCATGATGACAGTGAGGGATGCTGGGATATGGAGTTCCTGCTGTCTGATTGGGGCGGTGCATCACCTGAACGGACCAACTCTCAAAACTACACTTCCCAACGACCGCCGCTGCAAGACCAGGTTCACAGTCCTGATTTTTACCAGGTCCAGGAGCTGAATGGACCGAGGGACCAGTCAAGATCAGATAGACAACAAGTGTCCATTACAAGCTCGCTGGCTGAGCTGCTTCCTCATGAAGCAACTTTAAGTTGCTCATTGCCTGACCTCTTTAATGGAGGATATTTGGAGCAGCAGCAGCAGCAGCAAACAGCAAAATCATTCTCACAACCAGAAAACCACCATCAGTTCAGTAGTTTCCCTATTATTAATGAAATCAACAGAGAAAATGAGAGAAACAGCATGGGGAAGATGAAGTCATCGGATTTTGGACACTATCCTCAGCCTGAACCTTTGATACCTTTCCCCGACTCCAAATTTGTCCACACATCTGGGATCGCCATGGACGCACTGGTCTTTCCTCCACAACATCACTATAACTTCATCCAAAACTACTCACACTCCAGACTCTACCAACCACAAGTGAACTACGTGCACAGGCAGCCGGCCAGTCACTATCCGCCCACACAGAGCATGGTGCCTGACTCCACAGTGCCACCTGCAGGTCTGGAGGGGAAGCGGATACGAAGGGGGGTGTTGAAGAGGAAAACCACGGTTCACAGTTGTGAATACCCAGGCTGCCATAAGACTTACACCAAGAGCTCTCATCTCAAAGCACACCTCCGAACACACACAGGTAATCTGAAAACACACTTTCTCTGTTTATGTCCATGTTTAGGGTCTGAATATTAAAGAATGGCATGTCTTTAACTGCAGATCTGCAACAACAAATCCTATAAAAATTAATTCCAGTAGAAAATAGGCACGCATTGCCACATTTTTGACTATGATGCATTGCATCAAATTCTGGCCAAGACAACTAATGCCTAGTTCACACTACAGGATTTTAAGCCCGATTTGCAAGTTCGGGCTGTGAACGATCAGCGCTCGGTAATCTTTATGTGTGAACTACTCAACGACGCATTAAAGAGGCTCGCTGACGAGTTGGCGAGTCAAATGAATATCTAGCATGCTAAATATCTGGAACGTTCGGCCGACTCAAAATCACGTGGTGTCAGGTTTCGCAACGAGCTACAGTCAATGAGAGAGCAAGACATGGGTTGAGGTCAGTGGAAGAAAAACAGCAGCAGCAACTTGGCTTTACGAAAAGTTTGGACACAAGTAATGGAGCGAAATTTTTCAAAGCAGATCATCGAGCAAACTTCTTCCCGACGTCCATTTTCAAATAAACAACTTCGGTTTGAGTTGTTGTTTTGCGTCATTCCCGTTCAACTTCTCACGTGTGTTTTCGTGACAAAGCATGGTTTTGGACGGGATAGAGTCGTTGGGTGACAGAGTTGTTGTCAGCTCGTGTAATGTGTGACCCCCCCGTTACGGATCATTTACGTAGTGTCGCGTAATGTGAAGACCACAACGACTTAAAGACAGACAGCAAGTCATGTAGTCTGAACAGCACAGCGATCAGCCGACGTTTAAAGTCGTGTACTGTGAACTAGGCTTAAGGTCACACAAGATAATTTAATTAATTAATTAAATCCTATTATAATATTTATTGTTATTATTAATTGGCTTTATTTTTATATTTTCAGTTTTAGTGATTAGTATTAGGTTTGAGTTGTTGTTTTGCGTCATTCCCGTTCAACTTCTCACGTGTGTTTTCGTGACAAAGCATGGTTTTGGACGGGATAGAGTCGTTGGGTGACAGAGTTGTTGTCAGCTCGTGTAATGTGTGACCCCCCCGTTACGGATCATTTACGTAGTGTCGCGTAATGTGAAGACCACAACGACTTAAAGACAGACAGCAAGTCATGTAGTCTGAACAGCACAGCGATCTGCCGACGTTTAAAGTCGTGTACTGTGAACTAGGCTTAAGGTCACACAAGATAATTTAATTAATTAAATCCTATTATAATATTTATTGTTATTATTAATTGGCTTTATTTTTATATTTTCAGTTTTAGTGATTAGTATTAGTAATTCTGTTATTTTGTTCTTTCCGTTTTAGTTTTACTATTTTTGTTACGTGCTTTTGTCATTTTTATTTATTTTTATTTCTATTTAGATTTAATTTATTATTATTGCAGTTTTAGTTTAGTAATTTTAGTACTTCAATTAGTTGCCATGGCAATTTTTCTAATTTTCAATTTCAGATTTTTAAAAAACATTTTAATTTTAAGTTTTTCATCTGATCATTTTATTTTAGCTTTATCAATTAACTAAAGAATGTTTCATAGTTTTAGTTTAATTAACAATAACAACACTGCAAGAGATTTGTCTCTTCATTTGCTTCCATTTAGACACATGCAAACGCTAGAGTGTGACATCATATCCTGTTCCTCATTGCTGCTTCATTTTGGTGTCCAAATTTCATATGCACAAAGGCTTGTTTGAATGCACTTTTAGAAAGAAAGAGACCATCTGACTCACTTGTAAACCATCTAATCACAGTTCATTGTTTTTATAAGCCTTTTAGAGGTAGAGTTTTCTGAAGTACATTATTCCATAACAGACCATCATGTTAAAAAAATACTAAAAATACTGAAAAGTGGAAAACGTTGAGATCATAATTTCAGAACTCGGAAAACAAAGTGAAATATGCAGAGGCTGAGACTATGTAGAAATGCAACCCATGTCTTTACCTTCTTTTATTTCTGTTGTCCTCAGGTGAAAAGCCGTACCACTGCACGTGGGAAGGTTGCGGGTGGAAGTTCGCCCGTTCGGATGAGTTGACGAGACACTTCCGAAAGCACACGGGACAGAAGCCATATGAGTGTATGCTCTGCCACAGAGCCTTCAGCCGATCCGACCACCTGGCATTACACATGAAGAGACATGTGTGAGGCCAAACGTAAACAAAACACAACCACCAAATGCATCCACACGTTAAGGTTAGCCCATGAGGGCATTTCAGAGGTTTTGCGAGGACCTGTGTTCAGCAGGTGAGATGCTGGACTTTGTTTATATATAAAGCACTATTGCATAAACATACAACTGACATGTACATACTGTACATTATATGATAAAGGGGAGGAGTTTTTTTAATTTATTTTTTTATGAAATCCTAATCATAAGTAGGTATCACACTGAAATCAAGAGCTTCAAATTTTTTTGTTTCTTACAATATAAACATCAGACTTATTTTTAATCTGGACCATTTATCTAAACTCTATGAATTGGAAAACGGTAATGAACTAATTGAAACCCATCCATCAAAAATGGATTCATGTGAAAAATTAAAAAGAAAGATAAAACATTTTCAGAAAGAAAAGTAGTCAACTGGCAGGGCAGTGTGAAATGCTCTCATTGCTGTAATATAAGAAAATTCCTGATGGATATGAACTGGAATTAGCTCATGTACATAAAGATGCAGAAACATAAGCTTAAGTTTAAAGTGTGATTTTTACAGAAAATGCCAAAAAATATTATATATGTAGCTGTTCAGGTCAGCGGATGAACATTGTTATTATTTTATATCATTTTGTTTTTGATCTGATTTCCTATTTATTGTCTATAGTCCTTATTGTGTGGGAGTTCTGTGGCATTTTAAATGTTCCCAAAAGTCATAAAAGTCTTCATTTGTAATATTGCTATTTATATAACAAGATACCATCATAATAAAAATAAATATATTTAGCTTTTTATGCTAATGTTTTTACTGAATATATGATCATCTATTTATGTGATCTTATTCACTAATAAAGCAACTGCAATTCAGTCCTTTCTGTAAGTCTCATCTCCAACCAACAGATGGCAAACTAACGCACAACACAGTTTCTGTACATCCACTGCTCCAATGTACTGGATAAATGTGAATCATAAAGTTGTTGTTTTTATTATTATCATTATTATTATTAATATATGTCATTTTGGGCCCCTGGAGAAATGCCTAAATGTATTAACACGTTTCAAATTATATATAAATGCTAAAGCAAAAAGGAATAAAACTGACAAAACATCCGCAAAAAGACCCACAGTTACCACAAGACTTACTGGCCATTAAGGCCCTAGTCGGTTTACAGGGTTTTGGGGGGATACAGCTGAGATTAAGGCCCGATCCCATTTCTACCCCTTAGCCCTTCCCCTTTCCCCTTCCCCTCCGTTTCGTGCGTTCACGTGAAGGGGTAGGGGTGTCTCGATTCTCTTTTGGTTGGAGGGGTAGGGGTAGGGGAAGGGCCAGACAGCCCTTCAAACGAAGATTTTTCGGGACCACACTTCAAACGAAAGGGTATGAATTATCTCAACGTAAACCGGCTTCAGCGGCAACATGGCTGCCCGAGTGAACAAAAAGACACAATGTAAGCATTTTTGGCATTAATAAAGATTTTAACGAAAAGTAATCATTTGTTTTGTTACATTCAATCGTGAGTTCATATTTACGGTCATGTTACTCAAAGAAATGGAGTCGCTAAAGAAAAAAGAAGCTAAAGTTTGCTAACGTCATATCATTACTGACTGCACGATGGTGCCACAACATATTTTCATGTCTGATCAGGGCGATAACCACCGTAGATATTGAGGGGGGCTAGTCCCCCCAATAATTAGAAATCGCTAAACCCTTTTCTCAAATATTGCCAATTCGAGAGAGAATGAGCGAGAGAGAGAGAGAGAGAGAGAGAGAGAGATGAAAATTGCGTGTACGAGCATCTGTGCGTTTCTCTTTTTAGAGTGAGTTTACTTCAAAGACAGCGATTTTATCCTCTCGTTGCTGGAAAATATAATGTAGCGATTCAGTATTTAAACTGTTATTAATA